ATTAGGTTTGTTCAGTTACTGACTGGAACAAACGAACATATATGTTATGAGTTTTTAGCTACGTTGACGTGGTGGTCGGGCTTGCCTATCGTGATGAAGCAACCGAGCTATACTGGCTGGAACAACCGTTCCTCAAGGTCCTACCATGTCAGACAGGTCGGTTGAAGAGCGGTAAGACTAAAAGCAACAAACCCAAGGTCCGAAGGCGAAGTCGTACTGCTGACTGTACAGAGGTGTGACAGCAGTAAGGTGTTTCCTTCAGACAACCAGCATGACAGCGATGCTGCCTTCCCACAAGGAGGGGTGGGGTTAGAAAAGGTCGACCCTAAAAATGCACACCTCGCCTTATCCCACGGATATCCGTCTCCGGCGGTAAGGTCTCAATAAGTACGGAGCTAACACAAAAATTACCCATAAAAAGGTCGTGTGTGACCGACCTCAAGCAGTTGTCCCTTGGGCACTGCGGTCACGCTCTCAGGTCACTAAGACCACCTTTAATCCAAATTCCTTTTCAGGTACCTCCAGAACAACCCTTCCACGGTGTGGGCAACCGGGAAGTGAAAACCGCCCTCATACCTCTAACAGCACTCAAGACCACTGTATTCATAATCAACCTTCCTCTTCAATTCCTATTATTCCTCCTACATCGACTTTCAACTTTAAATTTCCTCTCTCGGCTTCCACCTCAAGTGTCACCATAGCCAACGATTCTAGTGCGCAAAATACTGTCCCAGGTCTACTGAAACCTCGCTCCAAACTACACATTGGAGCCTTCAACGTACGAACCCTATGTCAAATCGGTCAGCAGGCTTCCTTGGCTAAAACCCTAGAGTCTCTTACCATTGACGTGTGCTGTGTCTCCGAAACACGCATACAGGATTCCAGTGTGGTCATTCACTTGACCTCACCTCGGCAAAACGGAGAGCCAACGAGGTACACCGTTCGTGTATCTGGTGACCCGATGGCAAGTTCTCGTGAACTGGCAGGTGTAGGCAGAGCACTAAGCATGAGGGCCGAACAAGCACTGTTAGAGTGGATCCCCGTCAACAGTCGTCTATGTGCTGTTCGGCTGAACGGCTACGTAAGAACTCGGAAGGATAGGGACACACGTCGTTGCCTTTTTGTCGTTTCTGCCTACGCTCCCACTGACTGCAGCTCAGATGATGTGAAAGATGGATTTTACAGAAAGCTGTACGAACTTCTTCAGAAAGCTAAACGCTCAGACATAGTACTCGTAGCAGGTGATTTTAATGCTCAGATAGGCAGTTTAAACCAAACAGAAAGGCATTTAGGTGGATATTTTAGTATTCCGACACAGCGAACAGATAATGGTGATCGTCTGCTGCAGCTATGCTCAGACAATCGTTTATTTTTAGCAAACACAAATTTTAAGCATAAGGAGAGACATCGTCTAACATGGCGACCCCCTACACCAAACCAACGATGGACTCAAATAGACCATATTGCCATCAGTCATCGTTGGAGTGGGTCGGTAGAAGATTGTCGCTCATTCTGGAATACCTGCTTGGACTCCGACCATGCCCTAATACGGGCACGCATCTGCTTGCGCCTCACTGGACGCAAAAAAGCCACATTAAAAAGACCCGTTAGAACTGATTTGAGTAACGAGAAAACCAAAAGTAGGTTCCAGGAACAACTGAGGTCACACTTAGGTAGTTGTGAAGACGAGGCTGACCCAGATGTTGCTTGGAAGGGCATACAATCAGCTGTGGAAACAGCAGTGACATCTATTAGTGACTTAAACCACAGAGTTGTAAGGAACCAGTGGATTTCTTCAAGGTCTGTCACACTGATGGATTCTCGTAAACTCGTCCCATCAGGTTCTGAACATGATGAAGAGCGAAAACAAATCAGATCTAGGTTAAGAAAAAGTCTAAGAAACGACCGTGAGCAGTGGTGGGCACCGAAAGCAAAAGAGATGGAAAAGGCGGCGACTATAGGGAACACAAGACAGCTTTACAGACTAATAAAAAAAACTGGAATTAATAAGTCAAGTGTAAGTGAGATTATATCGGAAAAAGACGATACACTCATCTGCTCCAAGTCCAGGCGTTTAGAACGATGGGCGGAACACTTTAGGGAACAGTTCAGCTGGCCTTCAGCTACTCTACAACTACCCTCCATTCCCAGACAGTGTGAATGGAACATTGAAGTAGGTCCCCCGACTCTTGCTGAAGTTCAAAAGACTATAGTTAATCTGAAACGAGGAAGGGCAGCTGGTCCAGATGGATTGGCTCCAGAGGTCTTTAAGGATGGTGGTCCAATTTTAGCAATTAAGTTGACTAATATTTTAGCTAAGATCTGGGAATTAGACTTTATCCCATCTGACTGGTCGCAATCACTTATCGTCCCAATATATAAGAAAGGGTCAAAATCATCCTGTGACAACCACAGAGGGATTAGTTTAACAAACATAGTATCTAAAATACTGGCCTCGATAATTATCAAACGCCTAACTAAGACTCGTGAACTACAAACTCGAGAGAACCAAGCTGGCTTTAGACCTGGTCGTGGCTGCATCGACCACATATTCACCATTCGTCAGGTTCTAGAACACAGGCATACCTATCGGCGTCCGACGATGGTGGTATTTCTCGACTTAAAAGCAGCATTTGACTCGGTAGACCGCGAGACTCTGTGGCAGTGTCTGTCATTGAAAGGCGTACCTCAGAAGTACATAAACCTTGTGAAGGCTCTTTACTCGAACACTACTAGTCGAGTCACTGCTTGTGGCGAACTGTCATCTACTTTTGCAACCTCAAGTGGTGTCCGTCAAGGCTGTCCACTTTCTACATTTCTGTTTAACTTCATCATAGACCTATTGATGGAAATAACACTTTCGTCGACTGAATTCTCGGAAATTGATCTCCTTCCAGGAGGTCCACTTATCGACTTAGAATACGCAGATGACATAGTCCTGTTTGGTGAAGACGCTGACAAAATGCAGAGTCTTCTGGTAGCACTAAGCAACAATGCCAGAATGTTTGGGATGCGCTTCTCTCCCTCTAAATGCAAGTTGTTGCTTCAGGACTGGTCTGGGTCAACACCTGAACTAAGGATAGGGAGTGAAGTAGTTGAACGCGTTGACAACTTCACTTATCTTGGAAGTTTGATCAGCCCTAATGGGTTGGTGTCTGACGAAATCTCAGCACGGATTCGAAAAGCTCGTTTGGCTTTTGCCAACTTGCGTCACCTTTGGCGAAGGCGAGATATCCGTCTATCATTAAAAGGACGAGTATACTGCGCGGCAGTTCGTTCTGTTTTACTTTACGGCAGCGAAACATGGCCCTTAAGAGTAGAAGACACCCGTAAGTTACTAGTATTTGACCACAGATGCCTTAGAAATATTGCTGGCATCTGCTGGGATCACCGGGTAAGTAATAGTGAGGTTAGACGCAGGGTATTAGGGAATGATGGTAAATCAGTCGATGAGGTTATGAATCTTCATCGACTGAGATGGTTGAGCCACGTATTACGTATGCCTGAACACCGACTACCACGACGTGCAATGCTATCCGGTATTGGAGATGATTGGAAGAAAGTTAGGGGCGACCAAACCAAAACTTGGCATCAGTGCTTGAAGACACTAACTTCTAGTCTGAACCATGTTGGTAGATGCAGACTACTTGATTGGGGTCCGCGTGACTGTCGTAACCAATGGTTGGAGACTCTTGGTGACATGGCTCAGAATCGATCACAATGGCGTCGGTGTATACACTCCCTGTCTTCCCTTAAACTAAGAGACTAAAATAACTTCATTCTTTCTGTCTACGAACTAATTCTTTCTTCCTATACTATATCCTTATTGCAACCTTTGACCTAACCACTCCTATGAATCCGCTGTTCATCTTGCTGTGCTAATGAGGTATGGCAACCTGGACCGATGCACATATGTGCCTGGTCCTACGTTGTAGCTGACTGACTGACTGAATGTTAAAAATGTCAACATTTTGAACTTTGTGCATAGCTTTATCTTGATGACCATCATGGAAGGTGGAAATAACTTCAAGTTAATTAATAACCTCTGTCTGTATATGTACAAAAGGCTTTATAAAAAAGTATTTTATGAAGAGAGACCATTAAAGCAGAGTGAAGATGTAATAGTGTTATCTCCCGATAAGAATAATGGATGGTAACTTTTGGGATCCATTTATGGACCGATACTATGAGTATATTTTTATCGTGTGATTGTCATGTAACTAAACTGTTCATATTCATGTCCCTTTTATTATAAGTTTTATTTCGACCTATGAACTATTATTATACGATTTACCATTCTTGACTTATTCCCTACCTGTTAATCACTACCTTTCCCATTCACAGCCACTTTTGGCCAAATATTGTACAAATGTTAGTTTCTATTTTATGGTACGTTGTGGACTGTTTGATTGGTATATAAGCCCCGTATGTTTGAAATAAACGATTCATATTGCAGAGGCTGAGATTGGCGTTCTGGACTCAACTGGCTGGGCTAGACAGGAAGCAGGGCCAATCAGGACTCTAGGCTGCTCGCACGTGTTTTATGCGTCACTGGTCCGGTCGATAATTCACTGCTCTCTGACTGGCGGTATCGTTGCGTTATCCAATAAACAGGGCACACAGGTTCACAAGTTATAGCAAATAGTACATAAAAAGAGGATGTTAAGTAGTTTGGTTGCTTTATCAAATGAAGCAAAAATAACAAAATATTTCTTACAAATATAGATATCAGTCTATCAGCAGTGTTTCTTGGTAATTCCTACTTGAAATCTTTCCTTTCACTTCTAAACAATAGTAAGCCTCAAAATATTTTCTTCCTATACAAATGTGGTATTCTGTAATATTTTAGACTAGAAAAAAATGATTCGATCAACAAACTCATTACTAGTCATATTGACAACCAAACAAATTTTTAGAGAATATATACAAGAAAACACTTTATCACGATAATCATGAAAACAATTTCCAGAAAGCATATGCTTGTTGAGAACAAAACATACTGAAAGTATCTATCTAAGTGAAACGGATTCTGGACCAGTCTCAGTACCAGATCCATTTGATTGAGAGTTACTGGACATTGCAGGACCAAGTGTCGGAGCTTCAGGATCACCACGTACAGCTCGATATTTAGCCATTTCATTTGGAAATTGACGAGACAATTCGGACATAAGTAACATTCGGAAACGACGAAGGCTGTCTAATTTTCCACGGACTGCCTCATTCTTGGCTAGTGCTTGTTCCATGCACTCACGAGTGTACAACTGAGGGTTTTGACCAGCATCGATTTTGGAAAATAATTCAATAGGAACATGTACATCTTGCATTTCAACTTGCATACGATCCACATCCTTTAAAAAGTAAGCAGAGTGTGAAAATCACACAAACACAAATTTACAGTAAATTCTAAAAAATGACAGTTAATTTTTAGCAGTCTCATTTAACTTCCATTCAGTTCACTTCTCCGGAATTTTAAAAGGACAAATACAAGAAACTGATAACTGTTATGACGCGAAACATTTCACTTTGATAGTTTAAAAAGCTCTATTTTTGAGGTCGTGGATATGAATTTCTGAGTCTTATACTAGGACGAAAAACACGTCCAGTGCTCCTTGGTTTTAAGTAGTTGTCTAGTCAAAATCATTACGCAGTGCTAATTACGAAACAAATGTTTTTCTAATGTGGTGTAATAAGATCAATATTTTTGAATATTTTAATGGGATAACTTAGTATAAAACACTCAAATATTACAAACTGCAGTTAGAGAGTCTTATAATTAATATATCTATCTCTGAACAACGACAAATGAGCACTATGATGCCATCATAAGAGAAATAACAAGTTGAAAATTTGAAAAACAAAATTCGGTTAACATCACAGATAATACAATTCGACAAGAGATTTTATCCAATGACTGGTTATTGTATTTGTATCAGTTTTAGAGAGGATTAATTGAGGATAAATGGCTTTGACTATGGTGTTGATGCATGCAAATATAAATCCCCCGAAATACTATACATTTTTTTTAAATTGCAAAAGGAAAAAACGAAACGTCATTTTAGAGCTGTAAGCAAGTAGCAGTTTGAAGCTGGCTGTATCCAATATGAAAAATCTTGTTAATAAAACCAAACGTTTACTAATTAAGTTATGATAATACTCCGTTATATTCCTAGCTCTAAAATCCATGTACAGAATACCAAGTGTATGACATAAACGGTATGAGGAAATTTACTCATTAATACTTGAACACTACACTTTATCATGACACAAGTGCTGTTATCCATAGTTTGACATAGTCAGTCAGTCAGTCAGTAACAACGTAGAACATCGTACGTACGTACATCAGTTCGAGTTGCCACACCACATTAGCACAGAGATGCAGTGGTCGATTCAAATCCCGTAGTGGTAGAGGTAGCAAGAGTATAAGCAGTAATCGGGAAGATTAGGGTTTGGAGATGTTATTTAAAGAGTATAATCCAGTGAAAGAAATTTGGAAAGAGGGAAAAAGGGACATGAAGAATTCAGAAGATTAGAGTTTGGGAGAACACAGAGAGTGGATGCACCTGCGCCATTGCGAACGATTTTGATCCATGTCATTCAGGGTCTCTAACCATCGGTTGCTGTCATCTCGCGGTCCCCAACCAGGTAGTCTACACCTACCAACATGACTCAGTTCACTTGTCAGTGACTTCATGGACTTGAGCCATGTTTTGGTTTGGCCGCCCCTAGCTTTCTTCCAACCTACTCCTATACCACTGAACATAGCACGTCGAGGCAGTCGGTCGTTGGCCATACGTAACACGTGTCCCAGCCATCTCAACTGATGAAGTTTCACTACGTCATCAATTGATTTGCCATCTTTACCTAGTACCCGTTTCCTAACAACTGTGTTACTTACTCGATGGTCCCATGATATACGAGCAATGTTTCGAAGACACCTATGATCGAATACTAGTAACCTACGGATATCCTCTACTCTTACCGGCCATGTTTCACTGCCATAAAGAAGGACGGAACGAACTGCTGCGCAGTAAACACGTCCTTTGGTTGATAGACGGATATCTCGCCTACGCCATAAATGACGCAAGTTGGCAAAAGCTAGTCGAGCCTTCTGTATCCATGCTGGGATTTCGTCACACACCAGACCACAAGGGCTGATGAGACTTCCAAGATAAGTGAAGCGATCGACACGCTCAATTACTTCACTCCCTATCATTAGTTCGGGTGTCAATGCAACCCAATTCTGAAGCAACATTTTACATTTTGAGGGGGTGAATCGCATCCCGAACATGCTTGCATTGTTGCTTAGAGTGGTCAGAAGACTCTGCATTTTGTCAGCGTCTTCACCAAATAAAACTATGTCATCTGCATATTCTAAGTCAACAAGTGAACCTCCTGGTAGAAGTTCAACCCCTGTAAATTTAGATGAGGAGAGTGTTATCTCTAAAAGTATGTCAATGACAAAGTTGAACAAGAATGGGGAGAGTGGACAGCCCTGACGAACACCACTTGAGGTGATCAATTCTGATGACAGTTCGCCATAAGCTCTCACTCTACCAGTTGTGTTCGAGTAGAGAGCCTTTATAAGGTTAATGTACTTCTTTGGTACTCCTTTCAGTGACAAACACTGCCATAGAACCTCACGATCAACGGAGTCGAATGCCGCCTTAAGGTCGAGAAATACTACGATTGTGGGGCGTCTGAATGTGTGTCTGTGTTCTAGAACCTGACGTAGTGTGAATATCTGATCTATACAACCACGTCCATGTCGAAAACCGGCCTGGTTTTCTCTAGTCTGCTCTTCACGAGCTTTAGTTAGGCGTCGAAGTATTATTGAAGCTAATATTTTAGACACTATATTAGTCAAACTGATTCCTCTGTGATTGTCACAGGAGGACTTTTGTCCTTTCTTAAAAACTGGCACAATCAGTGATTAAAAACAGTCAGATGAGATTACGTCCAGTTCCTAAATTCTACCTAAGACCTCAGTCAATCTCACTGCTAATACTGAACCACCATCCTTAAAAATCTCAGGAGTAAACCTGTCAGGGCCTGCTGCTCTCCCTCGTTTCAGATTTCCTATGGCTTTTTCAACTTCGTAAAGGGACGGAGGACTTACATCAACTTGCCATTCAGGTTGACTGGAGATCGTGGGAAACCGAAGTGTGGCTGAAGGCCAGTTGAACTGATCCCTAAAGTGTTCTGCCCATCGATCCAATCTCCTGGATTGAGAATGAATAATATGTCCATCTTTCTCTGAGATTGTTTCGCTAACGGTCGGGTTCCTAATTCCGGTTTCCTTAACGAGTCTAAACAATTGTCTGCTATTACCTATTGCCGCTGCCTTTTCCATCTCTCTTGCTTTCGCTACCCACCACTGTTCGCGATCATTACGTAGACTTCTTGTCAGCTTGACATAACATTAACTTTTTTGAGAATGGTCTTTAAAGTCATAGATTGTACCACCACTGGAAACGAAATTACAATTCGGATAGTAATGTCCGTGATCTTATTAGGAAGAAAACTTTAACACGTTTTGTATGCGGTCACAATCAATGGTGCACATGGGCTCCAGTATCCTGCGGGAACGAATGGCGTATGAACCAATCGTTGGTCACCGGCTACCATGGGACTGCATCTCCTTACGATGCTCCACTGCCTTGTGGGTTAGACCTTTAGGTCAAAGGCTCGGGGGGTGGCCCCCTAAGAAAACCACCTGCTTCGGTTTGGGCACCCGGGCAGTATCACAGCCCACACACAAACGATGAACTCTATGTCTTTGGCAACTACTTGTGTGGCGCATATATATTGGCGCTCTCTTGTACCAATATTTATGTGTTCAAATAAATAAATAAATAATGCGGTCACAAAATATGTATACAAAACTGTTAAGTGTCAACCAGTCCCATTGCTTTATCTCGTTCAATTTTTTATTGATGTCAAGAATAAATGGCCTAATAAAATATTTTAAGGAGGCATGGATATCTAAGCAACGGATTATCTATGAAAACGATTTGGTCATACTTTCCAATGAGCTATTTTAATTACGATGGATGGCATTAAATTCAAAAGCAAAACAAACTCTCCTGGACTGCATTCCGATAGACAATCACTTATGTATCCCTATGCACTCGTTGATTGGAGTTTTGATGAAATAAAGGATGAATTTCATATAAATCTTCAAAAAGCTAAATGTTCAGATGTGATGATAATAATAGCAGGTGCATTTAATGCTCAAATAGGTAGTTTAAACCAAACTAAAAGATACTAAGGTGAATCCTATGGTGTCGCGGCTCAGAGAATAGATAGTAAAGACTGGTTGCTGCAACCATTCTTGGATAACCGTTTCTAGCGACCATCAGGTATAAAAAAGGTATTGACATGACGACTCCCACAATCGATCTAACGATGAATGCCAATAGACTCCACTGTCGTTAGATATCGTCGGAGGCTTGATAGAAGACAGAAGCTTATTCTGGAGCACACCGTTAGACTCTTATCAAGCTCTATTGAGGTAGATTAGTGGTTTGGGCATTCGAATGTCTAACCCTGCTCTACTTCGGTTTGAATAATCAAGTAATATCATTAACCCTCATACTTAGTGTGGTTCATATCCACATATCTGAAAGATGAGTTAGGTTGAATTTTAGATTTCAATGCTCTAATGCAAGCACCTGTTTGTCTGCGTTTTGCTGGACGCACAAAAGTCACAGTAAGAAGACCCTTTGGAGTTTAGATTAATGATGAAAAAGTTAGCAATATATTTCAAGAACAACTAGAGAAGCAGTGAGTCAACCATGTAAGCAGTATCCTCCCAGATGTAGCTCGGCACGATATTCAAACAGCTGTGGAAGCAGCAGTGATGTATACCAGTAACATACACCGCAAGGTTAGGAAACCAGTGGATTTCGGTAGCGTCCGCTGAAATGGTAGATGGCTTAAAACGCGATGAAGAGCAAATAGATGTAGACTGACAAAAATTCTATGAGATGGTCGTGAGGAGTGGTGAGCAACTAAACCAAAAGTGATGGAATAGGTAATAGTAGACACGTTTTGGAAATTATCAAAGAAACAGGTAATAAATATTTTGCAGTTAGTGAGACTAGTTTTGAAAAAGATGGGAAAATGACCCACTTTCAACACAAGAAGCCGGAACAATGAACAGAACACTTCGGACAGTTTAACTGCTCTCTAGCTACCACTCAATGATCAATTTTCACCAAACAACCTTAATGGGACGTCAAAATAAGTACCCCGACTCATAAAGAGGTAGAAGCCATAACTAAAGTGAATGAGAACAAGTGCTGATGGGCTAACCCTTAATATCACTAAAAGTCGTGTCCCAGTTTTGGAAGTTTGATGAACAGAAATATCAGCTAGTTTAAGAACTGTGTGCTTTCCTAAGTGACTGGTTTAATTTCAAAGCGAAATAGTGGAAATTTCGTAGACTGAGCTATATATAATAAATAACAGTGTCTGCGATTAAACACTTAAATGGCTCACATATTTTCAAGAGGAAAGTGGATGTTAATGGAGAGAATGATGCTAAACGAACTCTAAAATAAGGTTTAAAGACACATATGACTCTGTGGTTGTGAGAAAAATGGTGAGCCAAATAAATGGAATGATAATAAAGATATTTTTTGAATACATAGTTTACACCGAGTGATTAAGGACTCTAGCTAAAAGTCCACGGAATTTGCATATGATCAATGAAAATCCCAATCACATTACTTATCATTAACAAAGTATTCAAAACCGCCTACATAAGGAATAACCGCAGACGAAACTCAAAATGTGAACTAAGTGGTGCATGATATACCAACTTAATAAGGAAACTTGCATAATTTAGCGAACTACATGGTGAATGAATAACATTGCAAAAAACAGTTAAGGACACATTATTTATTCCTAACGAGTCAGGCGGTTGACTGCTTAACTAAGTAAAAAAATATGGTATTTGACTGAGTAAACATTAAGATTTACCGTCAAGAATATTAAAATCAACCGTACCTGTAATTTATACACTAGATCATTGATCTTTTTCTGAAACGACACACTTGGTTGATAGTCACAAACAACAATTCCAGCCTCCCTACAATGATCAATAATACTTTCGATGTTTTCTTCCAAAATTTCGAAACGGTTACGATCGACCATGAGTGTGTTAACAATTATTAGTGAACAACGGAAACAATAATGAGACCTTCTGTAGCGAAAAGTTGAGCAGGACGACAACCGTGGATTTTTATACAATACTGATGTGAACTACACAAAACCAAATGCTTTTGGTTGAAGCATGTAGGCTTGACAGACAAACAGGAACGAATTACAAGAGTGTATTACAATATACACTCTATGTGGGGCTAATATGAACCGATTATTTCCTTTGCATTTGCTTCTCAATGTTGAGATAGATGTTTATGGTTTTCAGCACAATCCAGTCAGCCAACTAAGTTCAAACTCAACGCAATCCAAACGGGCAGTCTGAAAGAGAAAATGTAGCGCACAATCCGGAAAAAACCGAAACGCCCGAATCAGATTCAGATTCAGATTTGTATAATAAGGACAGAAGGCCTACGGCCTATGTTATCCCTTTTCTAGTATGCTTCTGTGAGTGTCCAGTCTTCTCTTGAAAGAGTCAATTGAAGGTGCGGGCAACACTGCTTCAGGCAGCAGGTTCCAAGTATTGATGACTCGGTGTGAAAAACTGTATGCCACGGGTATTTTGTTCGTTCTTGGCTTTTCTACCCGCCTGCTATGTCCTCTGAGGTGTCCCGATCTAGTGGAAAGAAAGAGAGAGAATAAGTTAGGTCCGAAATCATTTCTCAGTATTCTGTACATCAATATTAGATCTCCCCTTAGTCTGCGATAGGACAGAGTAAAGAGGTTCAGCTTTTCAAGCCGCTCTTTATGTGATAAACCCCGGAGTTCCGGAATTGCACGCGTAGCTACCCTCTGTACTTTTTCTAGTATGTCTGAGTCACCTTTTAGACAGGGGCTTGCAGCCTGAACACAGTTCTCTAACTTAGTTCTCACTAAGGATGTGTATATTGTGGTGAACATGGTAGTATCAAACTTAGTGAATGTCCTTTTTAAAGCCCAGAGGGTTCGAAACCCCTTAACTGCGACCTTCCGGCAATGGGCCGTCGTCTTAAGATCATTGCTCACTGTCACCCCTAGGTCCTTATGAGACCGGACTACGGGTAATGACACATCCCCTATGTTGTACGTATTAACCTTTGAATCCCCCAAGTGCATGTAGACACACTTTTCCGAGTTGATAGGCATTAGCCACTATTTCGACCAGTTTATCATATTATTTAAGTCCGCCTGAATAGTAAATGCGTCTTTGTCTCCAATTATTACTCGCCAAATTTTTAAATCGTCAGCGTATAATAACATTGGAGACTGTACTATACTTGTAAGATCATTAACGTACATTATAAAAAGTAAAGGACCTAGGACGGAACCTTGGGGTACTCCACTAAGTACTGGTCTCCAGATGGAGCACTTAGGATTTATTCTTACTTTTTGCCAACGACCTACTAGGAAATCCTTAATCCATTTTGAAAGAGGTCCGGCAATACCAAGGTTTGCCAACTTCAATAGCAGTCTATTAGTTGGCACCTTGTCAAAAGCCTTACTGAAGTCTATGTAGACAACATCCACTGAGTTTCCGTTGTCTAGCGCATTAATCCAGAACTCCCTAGCTATAAGGAGGTTCGTTGTACAGGATAGATCCTTTCTAAAACCATGTTGTGCCATGTTCAGCGAGTTACAGGTTTCCATAAATGCCGTTATGGTCCGTTTGATTATTCTTTCCAGTATTTTAATTACAACACTGGTGAGGCTTACGGGTCTGTTATTCGATGGAACTTGTCGTGGACCTGTTTTATGTATGGGAGTGACGATTGCGTCTTTCCAGTCCATAGGTAACACACCTTGGTCAAGTGACATTTTGAATTCAAATGGTTCAAATGGTTCAAATGGTTGTGGACGGAATAGAAGAAGCTTTCGCTTAACAGGCTTCCGTGTCTAGTAGCAGGGGATCACCAAATCCTCCAGGCAGGAACCTAGGTATGTTAACAATAAAAGAGGAAAAGAAATTGGTAAATCATAGTGTGATGCTGTCCTTGGTCCTTAAGAATAGGTCAAGTTGCCTCTTGAAGGACTCCTGAGAAGTCGCTTGGACTAGCTCGGCCGGCAGCGAGTTCCAGCTTTTGACAACTCTTAAGGAGTAGAAGTCGTGTCTACATTCCGTCTTGCTATGTTGTGTTTCCAGTTTCTGGGTGTTACCCCTTAGGTTATTATTCGAAGCTGCGATATATTGGGCAATATGTCTCAAGATTTTAGGGTGTAGTTCATCTGGTCCTGTTGACTTCTCCATGTTTAGGGTGCTAAGAGCCTTAAGCACATCGTTTTGGTCGAAGTCCACGGTGAGCAGCTGGTTTTTTGACTCTGTAATTGGGTCTGGTTCTTTCTCTAGAGGAGGTTCCTGAGTGAAAACTGCCCCAAAGTAGTCAGCCATAACCTCAGCTTTTTCCTGATCTTCCTCTATCATTTCAGATTCACTTCCTACTTTAATTAGGTTGGGAATCCAGTGATGAGTCCTTGTTCTGTAGTTTATGTACGAGAATATCCTCTTGGGCTGCTTGAGTGCAGATTCTGCCAGCTGCATTTCGTATTTTCTTTGCGCTTCCCGAATTTCAGTTATACACACGTTTCTTATCGATCTGTAGTGTTCCATCGTACCTGCTGTGCCAAGGCGGATGGCAACATCCCAGCATTTCTTCTTTTGTCTTAGTAAGCGTCGAATATCCCGCCCTATCCAGGGATGTCCGTGCTTCTTTTTCTTTGAGACAGTCCAGGGTATGTATGGTTGAGTTACCCGATTGTATAACTGCTTGAATAGAGTCCATGCCTCTTATACTGATGCCTTTGAGTCAATTTCCCAGTTCTCAGCCGATGCTGCGGAGTCAATTGCCTGCATATCTGCCTTCCATATGTTAGGACGGGCCGGCGCAATTGTTTGAGAAGCAATTTCAGCCATGAATTTGAATAAGATGACTGCATGGTCACTTCTCCCAAGTGGTGGGAGAAAAGCCGTTTGACCAACGTCCTCACAGTGTGTGAAGACTAAATATAAAAGAGAAGAAGAGTTTCTTAAGTCGTATCTTGTGTGATCTCTAATTTGTTGGAATAATGCTAGTCCAATCGAGGTTTCCAACAGTTTGCAGTCGAACGACGATATGGATGACCCTACTTCTAAGTTAACCCAGTTTATATATGGTGCATTAAAGTCGCCTACTACAAGGCTTTTACCGTTGTTACACCAGGACTTAAGTTCACTTAGGAGAAAATCATCTGCTACACATTCTGGACTGTGATAAACTACAACTACTTCAATATCTTGCCTTCGGCATTTCAACTTACATCTCACCAGTTCACATGTCCCTGAAACATGTGCTACTGTCTCAGCTAACCTTATGGTTAGGGTACTTTTCGTGTACACAATAACCCCGTCTCCCCTTCGGTTTAATCTATCAGCCCTACTGGTTATGAAACCAGTCAACTGGATTTCATTATCTAATACTTCTGACGTTAACCAAGTTCCCGAGACAGCAATAACGTTTAGTTTTTCTTTATCCACCACTGACTTCAGCTCCGCCATTTTATTTAGTAGGCTGCGAGCATTTGTGTAGCTTACTTTTAAGTCTGTGGAGAGCTTTCCCTTGCCACCTTGCTTGGGGATCGTTTTGCTTCGAACTTTTACAATCTGAAAACCCTTAAGAACGAGGTTTCTTTCACCGTTTCGGTGACGCTCGTTTATTTCCGCTTCTGCAACTCTTTTCTTAATGCGATCAGCTAAGCTGAGATCCTCACGGATATATATTCCGGATCCAATCAGTTTACGTGAATTACTTAGAATCAGGTTCCTTTCTTCCACCGTGTTGAATGTAACCTTTAGGAGGCGGTTTTTCGGAGGACTTTCGGAATCCACCTTTTTTCCTATTCTATAGAGCTTACAAATACTAACTCCTGAAACTGTATCTTAGAGTAGTTTACTTAATGATGTCTTAATATGATTGAGATCATGTTCAAATCTTGCCTTTGGTTCAGTATCTGAAGATTCTCTTATGTTATGAAAAATGACTGATCTATCAGAGAGATCTGTCTTGTCACGCAGTGAGGATTTTTCTTCTGATAACATCCCTTCCAACGCCTTGCTGACCAGCTGCGTTTGGCCTACAACCTTTTTCTTCTTATTTTTTTCACCTTACCGAAGTCCATTTGTCGCCACTCAGAACAGCCACACCTGGACTATGTGGAACGGTGACAGTTTTATCCGGATCTTCTATTTCGACTGGAGGTGTATGACTGCCAATGTCAATATCAAGCGACACTTCATTCCTCGTTAATGTCAACGGTGATTTCACGTTCCCGTCAACCGCAGTCAGGTGTTTAATGGGTCCAGTAGCAGCACTTACTACACAGACACATTCTTCATCGTCAGTGCTCCTGTTATCAGTGCTCCCGCCATCGTTTATCTTGTAGGCCAAAGCCAATAGGCCCATAGCCTCCTGTATTAGTACCTTTTTATCCGTACAGCAGAACATACAAAGCCAATGCGAGTTAGGCTTCGAGCATCTTTTGTAACCCGTCGGACTTAGTCGTGTACACATTTTGTGGTACCACTTTTTACAATCGTCACAATGCATTCCCTCCTCAACGGAGAACAAACAATTTGGTTGCCCACATTTGTGAGTCTTACCAACCATTGTAATTCGATTTAAAAGGTTTAAAAACAAAAAATGATCACAATGTGAACACAAGTGTTAGTCAAGGACTAAAAACAGGTACTCAGGACAAAATTTAGCAAAAAATTTCAAACTTTGACCAAAGTACTCTTAGTTAAAGTAGACCAAGAATGCTTTTTAGTGCAATAAGTACCCAAAGCAAGTATAATCACAACAAGTACAAAAATCACTGCCCTTTTTGAAACTAGCGTGTCAGTTTTGAAACGGCAAGAGGCTAGGTGACCTATCTTAGTCCTGTCAAGTATGCACTTTCAGGTGATCCAACTATATTTCCGGAGAGTCGACAGGTGGAGCTGCAATCATGTGCTGAAGTAGTGAAATCCACTCATTGATGATTCGATGGAGAATTCGATGGCCAGATGAAAATTAGTTTGTTCTGAGACCGCGAACCATTTCAGAGTGTCCTCGTAAATTCTCTGTTTACGAAGACGATAGAAATGCGGGTATATCAGGTGCAAGCTCATTGCTAAGAATTTTAAAAACTTTGATCAAGTCACCTTTGTTTCTTCATTATGACAACGGGTATAGGTTTTGTTTAGCCAGTCCAGCATCATACGGGAGCTTCGAGATTACGGGAATCTGCTCAGTTGTTGTTCTCTGAACCTTTTCCAAAAGCTTGTAGTGGCATTGGACAATAGCCACACAATCCACCAAGCTTTGAACACGAGACTACTCAGAAAATAGATATTCAATATTTAACTCGGGGAAATACCTA